AAGCCCTCCAAGACTGCAGAAAATTGCAGACTAGATAATTAGACTAACCCTGAGGCTAGCTCAAGAATTTTGAGCTACAAACTTGAAAATATGAACCAGAAATAGTACATCACATCCGAAAATTCTTTAATCGTTTAATAGCTGCTGGTTGGTTGAACAGCTGCATATTGTTTGTCCACAACCTCAATGAGCTTGTTTGCTATGGCATGTGCATAAACGGTGGAACCTTCAGAAATCTGCCAGATTTGTTTAAACCATGACTTTGTCATATTTCCAAAATCACAAGGTAAAACAGTTTCAGCAAATTAAGTGTGCTTATTAATTATGAAAATGAGTTATCATGACCTTAGAATTGAACAAAAAGCTGTAGTAATCTCCAATTAGCCCACCAGCAACATGGTGAAGATCCAACTGAAGTTCGTCAAGGACTTTCGATACAAACAGAAGGCAGTTGATTCTCTTCTGCTGAACAAGTTTTACAGTGACTTCGTCATCAATGATGCGCACATCAACTTCTGTAGACTTGGACTTCCTATGAAGCCATGAACTCCGTAGTGATGATCCATCGTAGGGCTGATCAAGATCATCCTCAGTCTTGACAGCAGCCCCTTCTGCACCATCTTCTACTTTATGCCTTTTAATTCTATCTCTGCTGCATCTCTTCTTCTCCACCAGAATTTTAAGTTCAGCCACCGTCCTCTTGAGCTCATTGATATATCCAATTGCATCTCCCACAACTGAGGCTCTATCATTCTGGGATGGAGACATAAAACATCAGAAAAGCTGATACAGATGTGTGCATAGATAGATAGGAAATCTTGACAACTAAATCTGGTAAACAAATTTAACATTCCATTAACAACCTGAAAAGTTTCAATCATTACCTTACTGGGATTGGGAACCAAACTCCTTAAAGCTTGGTACTTGTCATTAATTTGCACCCTCCTTTGCCTTTCAGTGGTAAAATGCTTTCTACCCTTACCATCTCTACCTTTACCTAAACACTTCACATCCGCAGTGAACTCAAAAACCCCATTTTCATAACTCCTACCATCTCCATCTTGGAACAAACAGCCACTGGCCTCTCTATCATCTACACCAGTAAACAAGGAATCACTCCTTGAACCTCCCAAGTTATAGCCATGTGGGAAAGAGTGAATCAACTCCCTCAACAAAGGGGGCTGTGGGGGAAGATTCACAGGCAATAAAGGGTCATAAACAACAGGTGAGGGCGTTGTCACGCCGTCGGTCCCGGAAAGGTCCCCGAGAAGGCCTAATGAACTTAAAAAATTTGAAGGTTTTTGGGCTGATGAGTTTGCAAAAGAGATCGATGTATTTGGTACTAGCAAAGCGGAAGGTGAACATCTTGGTAAAGGTAGCATGTTAAGGAGATCAGGAGTTGGAGGATATGGGGTGTCAGGCAATGGCATACTGAAGTTATGATGCTGAATGTTTTGCATATCAACTTGTTGCATGTGCTGGTGCTGCTGCTGGTGATGATCTTGTAGTTGTTGTTGGTGGTGATAGATAAAATTCACATCTTCCCAGTTTGATGGATCACAAGATGATAAAATCTGGTTGCGGCTAGACTCGTGAACCATGTCTTGCAAGTTAGTGTGTTCCATCTCAATATTGAGTTGCTGCTGAAGCTCCATCTCCATGCCTGCGGCTGAGGCAGCAGCAGAAACTACTTGCTGTTGTGGCTGGGAGGCATTTCGTTGGTGGTAGGGATGATCCTCCATGGAAAAGCTAGGGCTGCAATTTGGGACATGGGTTTGTGAAAAACCATCCCCAACCAGCCCCCCTCCTTGTATAGGATGAGGATCAAAACAAGCACTTTCTACAAGCATCTTTGTGGGATCAAGAAGTTAGAAGATAGTACTAGTACTGAAAGTTATGTTTATTTGTCTCCTACTTTTTGGGCTTTTTTGTCTGCAAACCTGGCAGATAAAAACAAAGGAAAAAAGTGTAAGAACATAGTACTGTCAAAATTAATCCCAACTGAGAGTATGAGTAGAAGAAAGAAACAAATCTGCAGAAAAGTGCAGAACCCTTGAAGTTTTATGTAAACTAGGACCACTAGCCCTGCAGGCTTTTTAGCCAGAAAAAGATTGCTTTTTTATTTTGGGTGGTCCTAGAAATAGAACTGTCAAGATTCAAGAATGCATGGCTTGGCCATAGGATAAATGAACAATCAAAATGAGGAGAAAACAACAGGAATTGAGAGATAATCAGGTCATGGAAATGATGAATACCTTGTTGTTTTTGAAGATTCACTGATGGAGAGTTAAGAGGGGCAGAAGAGTTTTGAGCACCTAGGATTAGGAAATAAAAGAGGGAAGGTTGGTTTGGTTTGGGTTAGGGGAGCTGGAAGTTGATGATATAGCATTTGTTGTAGTACTACAACAAAACATTTTCAGTTTTCTTTTTTATTTGTTGTTGGCTTTCTGTGCATTTTGGTTTCCAATTTGGGGAAGTTTGTTACTGAGATTCTCTATGGCGTGTAGGGCCTACTCATGATCTCCGTATTCTGATTGCCTCTGAACTGGTGTATGATTTGCGCGGACTGGCCATTGCTCTCTCCATCTTTGCCTTTAGTGCTTTTATTTTGAAAGAAAAGAAAATGTGTGATCAATTTATTTTTTGAAAATCAATTTCAATTTTGTTAGTACTTTTTTCGAAAAGGGTAATGATGGGGAGCTGATCCCAAGAAGGTTTTTTTTTTGGGTGTCTGTGTGTGTGTTGGGGGGGGGGGGGGGTGGAGGTTCCCTCTTAGAGGCACTGTTTGTTTTGAAGGAAGTGATGAGATTTTTTATATTTGGATTGATTTTTGAGGTGGAAAAGGAAAAGATATGGAGGGAAAGGAAGAGATGAGATCTAATTATTTTTTATTTGTCTATTTTTCGTCTAAAAATGGGTGAAAATGAAGATTAGACTTTTAGATTGTGAATAAAAATATAACTAACACGCGATTAGGATTGCAAACGAGTCGAGTCGAGTGGAATTTTTAATTTATCGAGCCAAACTCAATTTAATAACAGGTAGTTTTGAGTGATCAACCTCGACTCGACCAAGAAAAGCCAGGCTCGAGCTCAAGTCGACAAGGCTTGCGAGCAGTTCGAATTGTCAGCTCATAACATAACTCGAATTTTTGACTCGTGAGCAGCTTGTTAGCTCGAGTTTCCGGAAATTAATCTAATAAAAATAACAAATAAATATTTTTCATAATAAATAATAAAATATTAAGGATATATATGTAATTTTACTATTAAAATAATATATATATATTTATATATACTTGAGCTCGCGAGCCAGGTTTAATATTTTGAACTTGACCTTTGACTCTAGTCGCTCCCGAGCAGTTCGGTTCATTTGCAATTCTGCGTGATAGTTTTCTTTCCTTTCCTTCCATATTCCTAATAAGATGAAAGGACACTGATTTTCTCAGTTTCCTTTCTTTTCCTTCCATATTCCAAACAAGATGGACGGACGGTTTCCTCTCTCTCGCTCTCTTTTCTTTTTCTCTCTCACAGAATCCTATCCTTTCCTTTTCTTCCCTTTCCTTCTATCCAAATGGTGCCTTAAGATGAAATTGGACATGTTTGTTGTGATTAAAAGTGATACTTAAATAGACACATCATAAGTTATCCGTATCAGTTCTTTCAAAGATCTGAGGAGCGTACAATGAACATTGACAAAGACAAATAATGCTAGAAAAACTCTGTTTTTATTAATTTGTGGAGTAGAAGTGTAAAATACTCTAAATTGAGTGATTGCAGGAGCAACCAGCCTTGCGTTGAACGGTCTAGATTAGTCGAATGAGCTCAGTTCAATTGAGATTATCCATTAAATTTTTTAAGTGGACGGTCCAAATTAAAGAGAGCACATTCAGTCAATCAAAGCCATTGAACACATGCTGCGATTGTAATACATACAGCAGACAACCCATCTCTATGGCACTCTCATGCTCTCTCATTTTGATTGCAAGTTTATAGAAACACATAATTGCTTCAAATTAGGCAGCCACTTTAATTAATCTCATTTGATGCGTTTATGAGCATTATAATAAAAAAATATCCAACTTTTTATAAAACAGTTGACATTACAACTTTACATACAAATAAAATAGAATAACACTTCAAAATCCCTCATTTACATTTAAAATAAAAAATAAAATAACACTGTCGTTAACAAAGACAGCACCTACTTCCAAGTCTTCGCTTCTATGTTGGAAGTAGGTGCTACTTTTGTTAACGTTAGTAGTGTTATTTTACTTTCAAGTCTTAACTTCTATGTTGGAAGGGATTAAATTTACGCCATTTTATTTGAAAACTGTACGTTTAACACCACGTTAGTGGCAAGTAACATAAGGATCGATCATTTAGTATTAGTATTGAAATTTATAAACAAAGCGCGTATTTGAAATGAAAATTGAGGATTAATTTGTAACCTCTTCTTAGAATATAGTTTCTTTATTTTATTTTTTAATTTTTTTTTGTTGTATAGGGAATAGGGATTGGTTGACATAAATTGTGCACTAAAATGTTGATGGTTTCTTTGGTTTATTAGACAAGAATTTCAGAGGACTGGGGAACAACTTCCAGATGAGAAGTGTGTCCCAGCGTGGGGACGGATCTCGTAGGGCCAAGCTTGGCTGCCTCTTTCGATTTGTTAGTTTTACAACAACTTCAGCGCGTTTCTATAACACAACTGTATATTGCATTACATATTCTAATGACGAATTTGTTAAAAAATTAATGAAATTTTAATATTTTATTGAAAAAGAAATATTCTGGGCGATGCCAGTTGGCATCTGCATTCATACTTTTTTTTTTTTTTTTTTTACCGAAAACGATAAACTTAATCTATTCTACACTAAGGGGAAGAAAGCGAGTCTAAGGAGGCCCAGGAATAAGTCGAAGGGGACTGAACCACCACCGGATCAGACGGGTGCACAGCACACCCATTTAGATTTTTTGGAGACAAACCGCAGAAATGTACCTCCCACTCCACCGATAAGGTGGTGGCCACTGAGCCAAAGGCCCAGTGGTTGCATCTGCATTCATACAATTTGCAAATATTTCGTAACTTTTTTTTTTTTTTGGTAAAAAAAAAATTTACATGATCCCGACTCCTATAATCATCATCATGGGTCAGATTGCATCTTCAAAACTATAGACCGCTTACGAGTTCTTACAAATCGTCCATTGATACAGCCTTCAGGTTTCCACAACAACAACGTTGTTGTTAAATCGGTTGAGTCGAGAATTGCTAATTGGTGCTGCAGCCTAGTACTTACTGTTCAGCATCCAATTTACAGTTGAAGCGTGGGTCCCACTCCCGCCAGTGAATTCCTCCATGCAAACCGGACTTCCCAACTAACATAAGCAGCCTCCAACTAACAGTCTATTATATTAGTGCATAATTTTGACAAGGTTTAGATAAATCAAATGGTAAGAAGAGTTAACGTATACAATACTGATGAGTTTTATGTCGCTTCAAAAAATAAAAAATGAAAAAAAAAAGAAAGAAATTTATGTCATAGATGCTCTTTGGTGTGCTGTGTAAGGTAAAATTGTAGTAACAAAATTTGTAATGATTAATCAGAGGGTAAAACTTAATCAATTTAACACGAGAAATTTTATGTATTACTAATATCAGTGATAAAAATATATTATGGATGGTGTCGATTCTCTGAAATAATTTCTAAATTAATTTTTTTGGAGTTTAATGGAGGGGGGGATTCTCTCCAATATAACTGGAGAGGAGCCTAATCTGTTACTTACCATTTAATTAGGTTTCTCACCATACCCAAAAAAAAAAAACAACAATTATGACTAATCTAAAAATATAATTCACCTTATTGATTAATACATTGGAATAAAATCTGACCATTTCTAGAAAAAAAAAAAATGACACTGAGCTCACTTCCTATTTTGCACTCCGCAGCACATACCACAAGGACCCTTCCATCTAACTTTGTAATAAACAAAACCGCAGAGGTGGGAAAATTACCAAAGAGATTGCTTCCCCCCCTTCATGAATCTCAGAAGTAATATCATCCTCTCTCTTTTTTTTTCTTTATAAAAGAAACAAATAAAGCCTTTTATTTATCTTCTAATACAAACAAAATATAGACATCCCAACATATGTTTTGTAGGTGATATGTACGGTGGTCAAAGCAATTATTTAGGGGCTGAATAGAAAATCAGGTCATGGAAAGTTGATGTGCCTAAAGCATAGCTGATTTTCCTATTAGTTAGCCCTGTTTCACGTTAATGTTCTAATGTCTTATTCTTGCCAAACAATCCCCACAGGATGAGTAGATTTTTTTTTGTTTTACTAATAGTATAAATGGGGAGATTCGAACCCGAGACTTCTCACTTGCAGTACGAGCAGACTGGTTTAATCTCTAATAAGTTGCTTAAAGGAAATCTTTCACACTCCACGTTTACGAACTTGTACGATTAATTGCTAGATGAGTTTAAAAGGTTCAGTAAAAATGAATGCAATTCCTGGCAATATCAAACAACTGACTTGCAAACAAAAGTATCACAATATTATTGTCTTTGGCATCAGAAATTTTTACTCACTGGAATATGTCCATATTGTTAGCTATAAGAACCTAATGGCATCCGGATGATCTGTGATTCTTTTTCTAATCTTTGGAGTAACCAAGTTAATCATTAGACAGTGAAATGCGGTTGCACACAATTGTTATGATCATCAAATGCCATTAACCACCAGAGATATGCGTGTTAATCACTTGCCTGAAGTGTAGTAAAACAGGGTCAAGAAAATCTCACAACATTATTAAGCAAACTAAAGGAGAAAACCAAACCACACACTGTGTATCAAGAGAATCAATGATAAATCATGGACAGACTATGACTCTGCCACAGCTATGATTTCAGGCAACTGCTAAGCATCCGAAGTGAAGAGATTAATAAATGCATGTGCAGCAAGTATTGCTTACTTTCAAAATTGTCTTACGAAAGGAATGACAAAAGACAAGCCACCGGAGTAGGATGCAGTTAGCTTTCTCCTCAATGAGGAGGTGGTGAGAAGCTGGAAAAGATCCTTTCAAGCAGAATCTCCAGCACTACCTTTATATGTTGTGCAACCTAAAATTTAGTCCAATAAGAAAGGCCATGATTAATTTAAAAAAAAAAAAAAAAAAAAAAAAGAAGACATGCCCGAAAGGAATAACTGCCTGCTATCATCAATTTTCGATATAGAAGACTGAGAATCACATAAAAGAAAAAGGAATTACAAGGCACAAAACAGAAATGTACAAGTAGATTTGAAGGTGAAATGGCTGCATTAGATTCAAGTATATCCTATTTTGTCTCTCAAGATTGTACAGGATAAATCCTTTTTAGTTCTGCCCACAGCAATAGCTGCCAAGGTTACTCCTCCACAGAGAGAATGAACATGCTTCGAGACTTCTTATATGTTGCTTCTTCAACAAACCTAACAATGGTTTCAATTAGAAAAAACTTCTTTTTTCAATGATGATCTTACAAGTCACGATTCAGAACAAACTATGTTAAATTGAGACCTAAGTATGTATTGATTTATGTGACAAATAAAGGATCACTTATCAAGCACCCATTTAAAATGAGCCATGTCATGCACTAGTCAAATTTGCAGGAATTCCAAATCCTAAATATAGTAGTTAAAAATTGTGCACTGCCCTCCAGGCCTCTCTCTCTCTCTCTCATGCTCTTTTCACTGCTTGTATCGATTTTTTCTTATAGAGGTTGGGAAATGTAAAACATGCTTCTCAATAATTAAGTGGAGATACCAAAGGGTGGTTGCTGGCTTTCCTAAACAGATGCATGAACATTAACAAGCTGGCACACTTGCTCAGAGAGAAGGGGAGGGGGAGAGAGGGAGAGAGAGAGAATATAAAACACATATACGTATGCATCTGGTTTGCATATATCTGCATAATGTGTTTCTTAAAAATAGATAAAGAGTTTAAGATTCACCTATTATCATTCTGATAAGCTAAGAGTGTCAGAAGATAAGCACCAGTCCATCTTACCATCCCATGGATAGAAAGGAAGCTCTTTAAGTGAAGGTAAAATTCAAAAAGAATAATAAAAAAATCATCTAAGCTGCTGCTCAAAATCTTTCAGTTAACTTGATAATTTGCTTCTGCATTAACTTTAATGTACAGAACTGCTTATGACCATGTTGATGAGGGCGTCTGCTTCATGAAAAAACTGGAAGATTGAATGCCAGAAAAGCAACTTTTTTTTGGGTACAAAATGCCAGAAAAGCAATTACCAAAGATGAACAAGAATTTTTTTTTTTCTAAATTAGTCAAGGCCAAAGCAATTTGATAACACTGATATGGAAATATGGGCAGTGGCATTTCTTTTCCAAGCTAGCATTCTGTGTTGGTCCAGGAAAACCAGACTTTCCAAGTCTTTAAACTAAAATTAGTGATGATCCTCTGATTCCTTGGCTCAGAGGTTAAGGAGCTCAATATATTTCTGAAACAAAACAACAATTCTACTAAATTAAAGATGACTCTTTGGTTCTTTTACAAAAGTATAGTTCCGAAAGATAAGGGCATTATTTGACGTGCTTTCCAATCTAACTTCTTGATGTTAAGTTCAATAATCAATGTCTATCTCTGAGCTGGCCAGATCTAAGGTAGTTCAGGGAATTATTAATAATTGGTTTCCCAAGAGCTAAGAATTGAAAGCAAGCACGTCAGTTGATTTGAAATGGACTTGTCGGAAAAGTAGCTCAACTCATCAGCATATTAAGTTTGGGGGCATCAAACTCGACCGTTTCTAGGGAACAAACTAACAGTCTGTTTCTCTCTCTTTCTTATGTCTATGTTTTAGAAGAAACTATTGCATACTGATAACCTGGAAAAATGCCACATATCTGAGTACTTTGAGTATGGATAAGTCTTAAGGAGTTTGGTACTTATTGGGCTCATAAAGAATCCCTAGATAAGAATCCCAAATACACACATCATGACCATATGCAACAGGCATTTCCAAGAATTTTACAGAAGAGATACAAAACTTGCAAAGAGATCAAAATATAGTTCTTGAAACAAGTACGTCAAATCATATTGAAGCTCTAATTCCTGTTCCATGATGACCTTTTTTGGTTTGTGAAATTCTCTTTCACCATATAACAAGATGACTAACATCCATTGCAGATATAGAGCATCACCTGTCACGTGATGAATGAAAAACCTACATCTTAAATGAATTAAAAATCACAAAAAACTAATAATTATATATAATTCTCTTTGGAAAAGTAACATCTTGATTCCAAGCAACTCTAACCAAGAATTCGACACAAGTAGTTCATTTGTATTTTTATTTTGCAACATATTAAGCAAAATATTGCATCTGACACAAAAAGAAGTAGACAACACTAAATAAATTTACTATTCTTTTTGTGGCTAAAATAATGGGAACGCAAATAGAACAGCCCAGAATCCCAACAAAGATTATTGCATTCGCATCATACCATCCTGTATCTGCAGAGAACCAAATACACCCATGTTGAAGCCAGAGCTTAATGAATGTCTCAAGAGGCTATTTGGTCATTTCAGATAACATAATTGCTTATAAGTTCATTAAATGGCATATCATATTTATGCATGGTACACCTAATAGAATGAACTTAGATACTAGTTAAACCTTTCACACTAATGAATAAACTCTAACTCAATATTGTCTATCAGTTAATTTTATGAAAAGTGTGTCAACATATATTAATCTCAACTGATATTTGCCTATGAATCAAACACTGTACCAAATAGGTAGGTGTAACAGAGAATAAGACAAATTTTGTATGTCACTCACAATTTTGTTCAAGGACTATAAAGTTTAAATGAAAGTAAATCATAAGTTGACAGAAGGAATTCGGAACCTATTGCAACATAATGGTTAAGAAATTTGATATATTCCATTTACACTTGTAAAAGTGTTTATTCATTTGCTTAACAAGTCAATAATAATAATAATAATAATAATTAATAATAATAATAATAATATTATTATTATTATTATTATTATTATTATTATTATTAATTATTATTATTACTATTATTATTATTAAAAATAAACAAACAAATAAAACTCTACCAAGGGAAACATCTGTCAAGGATTATTGTGCATTTTCGACTTCAACTATCAAAAATGAACATAGAGAATTTTTTTTAGCCCAAAAAAAAAATTCAAAACCCATATATACTTTGTCCACTTTGTCACATAGTACAATTCTTCTTTTGGTCTGGAGTGTAGGGGTCAAGTATTTGGTGAAATTTGCACTTCTTGAATTTAAGAGAGGTAAAGGATATGGTTTACTTTCTTACCAGTGGTAACATGGAGCTAACAAGCTAGAGCCAGATGAGAGTCTTGGAGAGAAACAGAGCAAAAGTCGAGTTCTAATCTCCCCAGCCTGCAATGGAAAAAAATGAAAACTCTACTACATCAAATAATACCATCAAGATATTTTAAAATGCTATAGTATCTGAATTTGCTTTATTCACTAGGAATAACATCCGGAGGGTATGAACTACTATGCCTCTTATCATCGATAGGTACAGTATCACTATGAAGTAATACCTCTCTTGACATCTCTTGCTGTTACATGTTTCACAAGTATTTTGCTTCTCAAGCGTCCTGTATAGTTTCAGGAAGCTCCCTTCAGAGGGAAGGAAGACAACAAAATTGCCCGATTCTTATAACAGGCTACATAACTCAATCGGCGGTAAATCATATATACAGCAATTCAAAATGAAATATTCAACATGGAACTCATATCTGGTGCACAACATTATGGTGCTTGCATACAAGTAATGATTGCATTTTTTAACTCAATTTCATTAGCATTTCCAACTGATTTGAATCTGTTTAATACAGTACAAAGCTATGCAAGATAAGTATCTGAAACGCTATCAAAGTGGCTAACCTGTAGAGTGCATTGAGCTAAAAGTACCATGGATGGCCCAAGATTACTCGGCACTGTTGACTGACAGGGCTACAAATGGATAACAGACTTGTTTTCATTTGGCTTACTTCTGCAGAGTAGAATCTCTTAGATAAGTGTGACGAGGAAATTTTTTCAATGAGTTGCAGCAACAGCAAGCTCTGCTATGCAATTACAGTCTCTTGTTTACATAGATAAGTGAGGAAATATGTGTTTCTTCTATCCGTTTCCACTATTTACATAGATATCATTCATCAGTAGATAGCATCATACAACTGAAATGATATCTTATTAGGCACTGCATATCTGCCTTCAGTTTTAGGGTGTGCTGTATCACCACTCCGAAATTCATAAACTATTCCATCCAATTCAATGCAGCTGCATCCTGGAGTTTTCTTCAATTTTCTCTTTTTCATTGCTTTTCTCAACTGCAATGCTTTGCTCCATTTATTCGCTGAGGCGTACATGTTTGACATAAGAACATACCCACCATCTTTCTCAGGCTCTATGCGAGCAAGGTGTTCCATTATGCTTTCAGCAAGCTCAAGTTTTTCATGTAACCTGCAAGCTCCCAGTAAAGTTGCCCAAATAAAGGCATCGGGCTCCAGGGGCATATTTTCGATAAAATCCATGGCCTCGGAGAGAAGCCCAGCTCTTCCAAAAAGGTCAACCATACACCCATAGTGCTCTGTTTGAGGTTCAATTTTGTGCACTTTGGACATGTCCGTGAAATACTTCTGCCCTTCTTCCACAAGCCCTGCATGAGTACATGCCGCCAGTACCCCAACAAAAGTCACTTCATTAGGATGAATGCCCACTTCAAGCATCTTGGTGAAAAGTTTAAGTGCCACCTCTCCTTCCCCATGCAAAGCCAACCCAAGAATTACAGAAGTATATGTAAACACATCTCTATGCTCCATGCGTTCAAAAACTCCTAGAGCGTCAACTATGCTTCCGCACTTTGCATACATATCTACAAGAGCATTCCCCAGAAACCCATCTGCCTTAATTTGGCTTCTATCCAAATAGGAATGAACCCACTTCCCCAAGTCAAGTACACCTAAATTAGCACAGGAGTTAAGGACAGCAATTAAAGTCGTCGCGTCTGGCTTAACTCTATTAACCTGCATTTCCCTGAACAAATTCATAGCTCCATCAAAATCTCCCTTCTGAGCTAGTCCTGATATCAGAGAATTCCAAGAAACAACATTTGTCGCTGGCATCTCTTTGAAAACTCTACAAGCAGAATCAGCATCGCCACATTTAAGATACATATCCACCAATGCATTCCCAACAAATACATCAAAATTCACGTTGTTGTGGACTACATACTCATGTAACTTCTTGCCAAGACTAAAATCCCCTAATTTAGCACATGCAGAGATTACAACAACCATCATCTTCTCATCAGCTCTTTGTCCTGATTCACACATGTCAAAAAACATATCTATTCCTTCTCTCCATTGCCCATTGTCCACATACCCTTGAATCAACGTAGTCCAAGATACCAAGTCCCGCTCAGGACTTCCATCAAACACCTTCCTAACGCTGTCAACAACTCCACAAGCACCATATAAACGCATCAACGTGTTCACAACATACAAATCTAAGAAAAACCCCGTTTTCACCAGATGGGCATGAATCATTTCCCCTTCGCTCAAGGCATTTAACTGCGCACACGCTCTCAAAACAAAAGGGTGTGTATAGCTATCAGCAACTAATCCATTTTTCATCAGCTCAAGATAAAATAACAGCACAACTATACAAGTTTCTTTGTTCTTGGAACCGGAAAAACATCGAATAACGGTGTTATAGAGATTGATATCTGGGTCAGACAATTGAGCAAACAGGGAGTGGATGTAGCTGAGATCAGTAAAGGGGGTAAAGCAAGCACATAAAGGTAGCATCTTGGAGTATAGTAGCTGTTGTATTTCAATTGATGGGCTTGTTTTCACGATCAAAGCGTGGATTTGCTTAAGTTCTTTTATAGATTTGCATGAGTGGAGGAATGAGAAATCCTTCAGGGATTTGAACGGAAAATCTCGGGAGTTAATCAAATGGTGTGGTGAGAACGATGAAGAACAGGTTATCATGGTGGTTGCGAATTTTGATGGATGTTGGAGATGAACGGCTGGAAATTGGATAAGTTTCAAGAGCCCGAATTAACTGTTTTAACGGTATGACTACTGGCGGGAAAGTGGACCAAAGTAATAGTCTAATGAAAATATTTGCATCTTTGCCTCATATACTTTTATTTCACGGTTTTTTATTAGTATGGTTTTCGGTTTGCTAGTTCAAGTTTGGGTTTTTTACTCTTTTTTTTTTTTTTTGGAAAAGGTTTTTGTATGTCATAATAATCAACAATTGATAATCTCAACCCCCTCGCTTTTTAAATCTCATTCCTCCTTTTGATACAAAAAAAATTGATAATTTAGACTACTGATGTTATATTATAATTTTTTAATTATTTGCTTTGCTTCAAAAGAAAGAGATAATTCTAAAATGAAAAGAGTAAAATATGCATAGAACTGTATAAAAGCCCATAGTACTAAGTTACAGAAACATCAGTATAAGAAGCACTTGTCACTTAACTGAGAAAAAAAGAATAAACAACAAAAACACAATTAAAAAAAGGACGGAAAAAAAAAAAACAACGATCACGAAACAACCTAAAAGTTTTTTAGCATCAATGGTGTGGTTGGGTTGATAATTTCATTTAAATATTTTCTCATTTTGTTAGCAGATGAACAAGTTGTCTATGAATGAATCACCTTTCTAGACAACCAAAAACAATACAATAATAAAAAAAAAAAAGATCACTATGTCTAAATAAGAAAAATAGCACTACTTTTTTATATTCTCATGGCTAGAAAAAAAATTGTAACTTGATTAGGTCAATATCATATTGAAATAAGAAAGTAAAATGTAGGGTTAATTCCAATAAACTTCCTTAAAAAAACATTTTTTTTAAAAAGAAGCCTTTTCTTTACATTGCCCCCTTGAAAGTTTAATTGAGCCAATCCCATCCTTATGCTATTACAACTTTCCCAATGAAATACAATTGGGTCAAGCAATTCAATTTTAGGCTAAATTAGTCGTATGCAGTGGGAAATGATTTCGTGAATTGACTAAATTATCTTGCCCTTGCTATTTAGAATCTCATAAAAAAAAGTTTTACACAAACTTTCGAACGAATAAAATAAATCAAGATGAATTTTAGATAATTAGACCCGTAGAAAAAATTTTTGAAGTAATAAAACATACTAGAGTGCAATGTACTAAACAATCATGTTTTTCATTATGTTCTTATATGTAATAAAGATACTACAAGAATTAGTAGCCATAAGCTAATAGATTTTAGCAGCCATAAACCAATATACACTAAAATAAACTTCAATTATGAGAATCAATAAACTAAAAGGTACACAAAATTAGACCTTTTGACGGGGGGTAATTTGGTCACTTCACAAGACCAAGCGCACTGCACATGACACATGACCATTTTAGCCAATGATTGGATCACCCACAAGGCTTGAATTGGTTCAACTATAAGTGGGTTTTTTTTTTTTTGCAGACAATATGCGAAGTAAGAGTAGCTTAATGGTTGAGAAGATGGAGTAGCCTTAAGCGTCATCTTGCATGATTTTGATGGGCAGAACCATAATTATGTGATATGCGTTCAGTCTCATCTTACATGATTTTGATGGGCAGGAATATTAATTAATTAATTAATTATGATATGCGCTCTTTGCTAACGCATAACAACGTTGTAATAATTGTTAATAGGATAAATCAAACAGCTCTTTGTGGTGATCAATCACATCAACTGATGTCTTCATGGTTTATATTTAGCAAATGATGGTAAAAACTAACCAAAAACTTCAATAATTTTGTTTGGACGCCAGATTATTTGTCGAATTTTATTTGTTTACATTATCAACATTATCTTCTGATCTCTATTTTATTTCATACGCATCGCATCTAAAAACGCGTCACACTACTATTTGTTAAAAAAAAAATTATCTCAAATAATTTACTATCCAATAAAATAAAGACATTGCATATCGAGTCATTTCACAATATTGAAATGACTCGACGTGCCTAGGTAGAAAACTAAATAAGAGTCAACATATGCAGCAACAAACATGGATACATACTTCAGACTGATTAATCATGTCAAGATTCAAGAACCCCGTGTACGTTATCCTGATGTTTGAACTTAAATTAATTGTTGCTATTGTGCCCCAATCCTAATTATATTACATGGGATTTGCACGCTCTATTCTATAAATACCCACGTCCATCAACCTTCCTGTCAATACAAATAATGGCATCCAAATCAGAGACTTCAGTTGCATTTTCCTTGTTAGTTTTGCTATCAGTAGCACTCGGTTCTAATGCAGGTGGAATAGCCATCTACTGGGGTCAAAATGGAAACGAGGGCACATTATCTGAAACTTGTGCCACAGGGAACTACAAATTTGTGAACTTGGCTTTCCTTTGTGTGTTTGGCAATGGACAGACTCCTCAACTCAATCTCGCAGGCCATTGCGATCCATCTGTCAATGGCTGCACAGGTTTGGGTTCCGAAATCAAATCCTGCCAAGCCAAAGGAATCAAGGTGATGCTGTCCATAGGAGGAGGTGCAGGGAGTTACTATCTCGCCTCTGCTGAGGATGCCAGACAAGTTGCAACACACCTGTGGAACAACTACTTGGGAGGACATTCATCATCAAGGCCTTTGGGGGATGCTGTTTTAGATGGAATCGACTTCGACATCGAGGGAGGAACAAACCAATACTGGGATGTTCTTGCCAAATACCTCTCTGCTTATAGCCAACGCGGAAAGAAGGTCTATTTGACGGCAGCACCTCAGTGTCCTTATCCTGATGCTTGGGTTGGAGGCGCCCTTCAGACGGGTCTTTTCGACTATGTTTGGGTACAATTTTACAACAATCCTCCATGCCAGTATTCTGGTGGGAACTTGAGGAATCTTGAGGATGCGTGGAAGCAATGGACTTCAATCCCGGCCGGGGAGGTGTTCCTTGGATTGCCTGCAGCTCCTGATGCTGCTGGAAGTGGCTTCATTCCTGCTGCTGATCTTACCTCGCAAGTGCTTCCAGCAATCAAGGGTTCCAGCAAGTATGGAGGCGTTATGCTGTGGTCCAAGTTCTACGATGACGAAACTGGATATAGCAAATCCATTAAGAGTCATGTCTAAACTCTAAACAACTTCTTCTTGATTTCAACCGAGCATGAAATCAAATGTATGATTCTACAGTGTCCCTTGCTGTCGATCCGTATAATAAAAATTTTGTCCAAAAAATGTAATGATTCCCTAATTGAGATTCTGGTTGCCAATTCACTTGTTAATGAATCCTGATTTTTTTTAAATCTTGGTTTAATTATAAATTGTAAGTGCCAATAAAATGGAAATTATAATTATAGTTTAACAAATGATAGGACTATTACATATTAATTGTAATTCAATCACATTATAATTTGAATATCTATAAACAATACAAACTCTTGCAATCTAACTGTCCATTCTAAGGCTGAGGTTCCAAGAATTAGAGACTTTAATTCTAATTCTTGAACCCCTTCCTTACTTCTTAAATCCTACCCTTTCTTGCCAAAAAAAAAACTTAAAAAAAGAAAATAACAATCTATTGATACGATATTGTCTGCCTTTAAGATAGTAACAAACAAACTGACTGCAAAGGACATCCATAGGAGAAAGATATTATTGCTCCAAGCACTCAATTACCTAAAAAACAATATAATATCTTTCGAATATACTCATGATTTGTATTAATTTAATATCAATGAAATAAGAAATAAGCTTGCTTACACATTTGAAAGATTAAAAATGTCTTTTTTTTTTGTTTTATAAAAAAGTCCTATTTCGTTGTGGATTAATCGCTCCTACACACTATTAACATCGGATGATAACAGTTATGCAAAATTTAAATTTGAAATTCAATTTTTACTCATATGTCGCGGATCTAACGGTAATACCATATATACTATTCGTGTGGATAAAAATTTACTCTTTGGTTATTATAATTTGCTTGATTCCTGGCTACTACATATTTTATAACAACCACCACTTTGCTGGTGAAACTATTGCTTGGTCAAAATAATATTATTGACACGATTATTATTTCATCATAGCTCATAGGTAATTTAATCAATTAGTAAGGTCAGATTAATGAAATAAATTTCTCCATCTATTTTAATATTCACCTGAGAAGAAGGCGAAAGCAGGCTAATCCAATCACAGTTTCAGCACCTCTTTATAGAAACCCAATTACCACATTTCACATCTAGTAAGAACAAGAAGCTTAAGCTATATGGGAATCGTTGATGGTTTAGCAATTGGGACATTTTTTCTAATTGCACACCAAGTGTTTGATATAATGTCCACGCTAATGGTGCTGCTATTTCTTGTACAGGAGAGAGTGATCAGTGGGAGATGGCAAAGGGTCTGATATGGGCAACAGCAGAGGACTTAGCAAGAAACAGAGGAAGAGTACTTTCACTGTATAGACAGATTTTAAGGAGCCTCAACTCGCCCGCTTTGCCTTTGAATCTGGCTGCTAGATTGTCCAAGAAAGCCGAGGTTCGTGCAATCTTTATGCTGGGTTCTGAAGAACGATCCATCCACAACATTGAGGACCTTATAGATGCCGCAGAGTACTCTCTATCTCTGTTGAGGAAAGGTGAAATGCCAAAGCACATCCAGTAATTGAGTGATGGATGTCTATATCACTTCCTATGGACTAAGCAAGCTGTATACTTGAATTGAGTTTGTTTCTGTCTGGAGTTGATACTCTCCCATAACTGTAGTTGGAAGTATATGACTGATAACTGGAAAGGCTGTCCTACAACTGTTTTTGTGTAGCAGGAATTTTCGTTTGTCGATGAATAATAGTTGATGAAACCAAATTTACTAACGAGATACTTACTAGTATCTGGGGGAGTTGTCCTTCAACTCAACTCTAAATGCCTAGTGGAATTAATGTTGAGAGATGCTAACTTTAGTTGTGTCCTTAGAGAGTAGGTACTAGGTTGTTTTATTTTATTGTGTGTGTGTGTTTGAACTGGAACTGTGGCCATGCTAAAGTTGTACCAAGTAGTTTTATCTTAGGAATCGTAATATACTTAGTTGTAAATCCAATTTTACTTTCTTTTGAAGTAAGATGGGAAGATGATGGAGCTTCTCGGATTTGCTGAATTGGAAATTTCTGAATCTCCCAACAAATTTTGTCTTGTGGGTTGCCTATGGTTCTGCAAAAACTCATGTATTCTCTCAGTCTTCTAAAATGAGCTATTAGATAGGTCTGTATAGTCATTTAATTGAGCATACTTGATCCTGCTGCTGAATTTTATGATGACATACTCTCTGGTTCGTTTCCCAAGAAAGTTACTGCAATTTGAAGCTGCAGTCCTGCACTCCAGTGATTACTGGGAGATCTCAAGTGGATGGTTTCAGCATAATAATTCTAGAAATGTACTTCATAATTTCTATGCACCCTGGAGTTATCTGTGATTGAAAAGACAAGGTAAATGTGTTGTGCCCGTGTTCGTTACCAGATAACAGCTTGGATGATGCATAGAGAAATAATGGTTTAACTTTGCAAAATACGCAATCAAAGATTTACAGTACAAAAGCCAGCACTTGCTGTGGAGAATGGAAAAAGAAGATCTGATTTATAACTTGCCAGTTCACAAATTGGCGCATAAGGAATGGAAAACCAAACTGCTCAGTAGATCAAGAATGGCATCTGATTTGCCAAATACAGTGGTGAATTGAGTTCCATGCAACTAACATTCTTGAACGGAAGATGAAAGGGGCGCAAAGTGAAGCCCTTCAATGAATGTACACTAGAACCTGCAAAGAGCACAGATACTAGTTGTCCTTAAATGCCACTTAAATTCCATTAAGAATTAAGGACAAGCTCTCACATACTCACATGAACGTAGACAGGAAACAAATGATTATAGACACAAGCTGGACACATTTACATGACACTTCAAGGAGTTAAAGTTTACAGATGCCTAACATCAAGGAGTTTTTTAGACATCACTCTTAATGGATTTACTATATCCAGTTTCATCATCATAATACTTAGACCACAGCATAACACCTCCATACTTGTCAGAATCCTTAATTGCTGGAAGCACTTGTGAGGTAAGATCAGTAGCAGGAATAAAGCCGCTTCCAGCTGCATCGGGAGCAGCTGGCAATCCAAGGAAGACCTTCCCTGCAGGGATGGATTTCCATTGCTTCCACGCATCCTCAAGGTTGCTCAAATCTCCACCAGAATATTGGCATGGAGGATTGTTGTAGAATTGTACCCAAACATAGTCGAAAAGACCAGTCTGAAGTGCACCTCCAACCCATGCATCAGGATAAGGGCACTGAGGTGCTGCTGTTAAGTAAACTTTCTTGCCGCGGTTGCTATAAGCAGAAAGATATTTTGCAAGAACATCCCAGTATTGGTTTGTTCGTCCTTCGATATCAAAATCAATCCCGTCCAAAACAGCATCACCTAAGGGCCGTGAAGATGACTGTCCTCCTAAGTAGTTGTTCCACAAGTAAGTTGCAACTTGTCGGGCATCTTCTGCAGAGGCAAGGTAATAGCTCCCTGCTCCTCCTCCAATGGAGAGAATGACCTTGACTCCTTTGGCTTGGCAAGATTTGATATCAGAACTCAAACCGGTGCACCCATTGACTGATGGATCGCAGTGACCTGCAAGGTTGAGTTGAGGAGTCTGCCCATTACCAAATGTACAAAGGAAAGCTAAGTTCACAAAATCATAGTTCCCGGAGGCACAAGTATCTGCTAATGTGCCTTCATTTCCATTCTGACCCCAGTAGATAGCTATTTCACCAGCATTAGAACCCACAGCAAGTGCTAACAGAAAAAAGAAGGAGAATGTTGCTGAAGTTGCTGGTTTAGATGCCATTTGTGGTAAGAATTTATGTTCTTCAATTTGCAGTGCTTGGAAGTTTTCAAGAGCCTGACTTTTATAGAGGACATCCAACTAGAGAACAGAAGTTGATGCTGTTGCGTTGTCTTATCTCTTATGGATTGGCGTAGCTAAACAGTAAAGCTCAAACATCAGGACAGCGTATACGGGGGTCGCGATGATTAAGTACACAGGCAAAAGTTCATCCATTGCTGCAAAATTTGACTCCTCCTCAGTTCTTTAGCAGGGCCAAAGGCCCTTGACTCAACCATCCCTTTGCCATAATGCGTTCATGCTGACAAAAGTAACTTTGATGGATCTTTGAAAGAAAACAAATTTATTGATACTGCCATGCATTCATATGATAGGTAAGAGTTGATACAGACATATACTAGTAATTACAAATCATTAGAACTCAAAATTAAAAGTATTAACAATTGATTCCAAATCTTTTACGTGACTACTCGGTATAGCTTATCGTCATCCTTTGATTTCTTATTGATTTTAATTGAATGCTCCATAAGTTGTTAAAAGGCTTCAAACTCATTGCAGACCTTAATAATTGAGCCCAATTGTCTTGAAGTTGAACCATTCCTTCCGAGGTTGTTTTATACAGCCATCAAAATTGCATCTACGGCAAAAGATTGATTTAAAAAGCCATCAAAATTGCAACTCTGAAAATATTCAAATTGAAGTACCCATTACCCCTCGAACTATATAGGCTGCCTCTTTAAATTACTCAATTTAAATAAACTTTTGACTCTTTAAGAACGCTTCAGAATGTCTTTGTAAACTATGTATTCTGAGAGTAAAATCATACCATCAGAAGTCAGGTTGATGGACTTCAAAGGGAAAAAATGATGGTTGATAGGGATGGCAATTCGGCCGAGTACTTGAAGGGATTTGATGGGGCAGAGCGGGGATCATTTTCTACCCCTACTAAAAATGGGTCGGGGACTTGAAGGGATTTGATGGGGCAGAGCGGGGATCATTTTCTACCCCTACTAAAAATGGGTCGGGGACGAAGGAGTATACCTCTGCCCTATAATAATCATATTATTAGTTGTAAGTATCAGTTTATGTATATGTAATATAATTACTATTATTTGTTATACTAATAATTATACATTTATACTGATACAAATTACTAATTAGTTATACTATTACATTTAAGAATTTGTGTTTTTTACTCAGTAACTGCAACATTTCCCCTTCTCATAATTCTTTTTCTGTTAGATGTCCAATTGTCTCTTGCTTTTTCTTCTTTTCACCTCCTTTCCTCTGTTTCGTTGTGCAGAAGTTGTTTTTATGGCACGTGCACGTCTATGAATTTTGTATTGCAACCAGTTTAATCAAACATAAAATGCCAGAGCCATGCAATCAATCATGTGTATTGCTGTTTTGCATGGTAATGTATAGAATTCATGTAAAATTAGTGTTGTAAATTTAGACTTCATGCATAGGCAAATTTCTATTAGCCCACAAGAAGTGGATGCTGCTGAGCCGATTTCAATGGGTAGGGGTGCAATTTGCAAACCACGACAATGAAGATGGAATGCTAATGTACCATGGCTCAAGAGGGAACAGGCATGATAAAATATAGGAGGAAAGAAAGATTCTTTCCTGTCTGTTTCTGTTGCAGCTGGCAAACAGGGTTTCTCAATCGAAACAAAAGAGTAGTTGAACATCTTCTAAAGTCGGCAGCACCACGCCTTCAAGATCAAATCCTCTTGCAAAATAAGCAATTACAAGCACAAGACATAAAAACCAAGTAAAAGATGATTTATTGGGACCAGAAACCGGCACATGTATGCAGCGGACCACATGCCAATTTTTGGGACCTTTTAGCTGAGGAACTCAAAACCATACCACTGAGGATCAAAAATGGTGTCCATTTGTTGAAGACAGAGTAGTAATTAAATTGCACGCTATTCAATCGAAGACTGGATGGATGGCGAGTGAAGCAAGTTTGATCACAATATTTTAAATGTACAAGCATCCAAATGAAGTGCAATAACAACATCATCTGATTCAGAAGTAAACAGACACATTCACAGAACTAATTACATCCATAATGAAGTCCGGAAAAGAGAGTTTCCACGCTTCATGCAGGTTTTCTTCCAAGAAGATAAATTTCAAAGTTACATTACACTGACCATTGATGCACAAAATTCATCGCCTAATAGACTGTCATTAAAGAGTGAAATGAGGCTTTAAATCTTCCTCAAGAGTAAAAACAACCTTTGATCAACCTTGTATCTATGCATCTTTATGGGAGCACCCCTTACCATCAGCTGAAGCCCTCCAAATGATATATACACGACCCTGCAGAAATAGTTTGCAAGCTAAATCATCAGGGCTAATCCATGTGGAAACTCAACATTAAGCAAAAAGCTTGAAATTTGCTCTTCCAGTTATGAAAATCGTTTAATCAGTGGTACAGTTTTCTGAGATTTGTTCTCAATCCAGACAGGACTGCCAGTTCAACCGGAAATAGTCCTTGTCAAGTCTGGTCCTAAATAACACTCAAATTAGTTAACCGGTAAAGACTAATCAAATAGATGAAACTGGAGTTGGCTCCCCATTTTTTTGCAATTCCTTTTTTCTGATTTCTTTCCTCAAAGAACTTGACATAATCCTTCAGTTTGGCGAGACTCGAAACCAGCCAGAACAGCAACCTATTCAGTTGCTCGTCAATTTTGACATCTAACCATGTTGAGTATGATTTGCAGTAAATACCGATGTGTTTCAAATATGAACCAAGAAAAGACATAACCACATGATGATCACCTCAATACCAAGAGGATTGTAAAACAAGAAACAGGCAACACACTTCTCATGAATAAGCAGGCACAGAATACATACACTTTTACACCAGCTTTTGCTTTCTCCTCCGAGATCTTATACAGCAGGCCGTGCATGACATACTCAAATTTGTCTGCAAGAGACTTCTGCTTGGCCTGCAATCAGAAAGCAGATAAGTTTATTAACCACTGTAAGCCTTTAAGATTTTGAGATCAAACACAAAAGTTCATCATCAGAGACCAAACATCCTGAATTGCTATAAATGACAGTAACCAAAAATAAAATAAAATCTAATAAAATAACTTAATTTTAAAAAATCAACTTTTCGATTGTTAATCAAAGTTTCTAATTCAGGAAATGAACTAGGATAACAATAAAATACTTTGATCTACAGACTCAAAAGAAGGGAAATAGTTTTGTGTATAACCAAAATAGAAGCGTAAAATAAACAATTGCCGAAAATTAAATGAGCATACTTTAAAAGAATCACGAGAAAGGTAATAGCCACATAAACAGCACTAATTCAGCTACAAGAGATAAGCTGCAAATCTATGTTAACAAAGAAAAGAACTGCAGAAGTTTAAGAGCACTAACAAAAATCAGAGGGTTTGTACTTTCAAAAAACTCATGCATAAAGTAGTATCAACTTGCTGTTTTCTCATTATACAAAAGACAACAAACATGATATGCTGTTATCCGTAGAGAAACAACATTTGAACTGTGTTATCCATAGAATTCCAAGGGCTTGATATGCTGAGAGTCAAACTTACAACAATCAGCAAAAAGCAGAAAAGGGAAAAAAGGATGAAGCTCCTTTCGAACACAACTTGTCCCGGCCCTAAATCAGTTATGCTCCATCAACTCAGAATATCAATCCTCATTTTGTTCCATTAGTACATTTAAACACAAATGGAATACGTATAGTTAGATACACTGAAAGAAACTAAATTACCTTTACAACGTTATCAAATATTGACCTTTTCTCTTGATATCACTACGTTCAAGCAGTAATTACACTATCTATCAGTAGACTCTGAAAAAAAGGGAAATAAAATAACTTGCATCCCCATTTTAACAAGTCTTGACCCTTAATTTTCCTTATATTAATACATGCACTGACAAGAAAAGAAATTTAGCATCAGGTAACAACATTACCCCGCTTACAAGCCAACTAAAGAGTTATTTCATCATGTGGTGCAACTGTCATAAATAACTTCTCATATGATAATTTTTAAATTGTAATCTGGGCTACAGACTACCATCTCAAACCTTTGTGAGAGCCTTCTAAAGTTCAATTTATATTGAGATTCTCCAAGCTTTGTTGTTTCCAGGACCATAGTCACCAATGTTTTGAAAACCGGACCGGACCAGCCGGTTGGACCGGTTGAACCGCGAACCGGCCATAGCACCGGTCCGGTTCTATGCTCTGGTTGACTTTGCCAGAGAACCGGTCAAACCCGGTAAAAACCAGAAAAACCGGTGAACCGTGTTGAACCGGTTTTTGAGTTTTCCTTTTTTTTTTTTTTTTTTTTTTTACTTTTTGCAAAATGCTTCTATCAAGATTCGAACTCAAAACCTTTGTAATAGAAGACCAATGTAGTAACCATTGCACCATCACATCTTATTTGCTTTTTTTGATAACTTATTTATATAAAACAAACATCTATATTTCATTTTTCCATTTTTCTTACAAAATCTCATCCTCTCATGACTCTTTCTTTTTAATCTTCAACTCTTTCTTTTCTCTCTCATCTTTTCTTTTGTCACTCCATTTTTAATCAAACCTCATTAGTTTTAATTTATTGATGTTTTCTTCTATCTTTTAATTTTGTTTTTGCCCATTAAATTGGAAAAAGTTAAAAAAGAATTATTTTTCTTTAACCCAAATTATTTAATGCCACAACCACTCACTTTTATCTCATTTTTTGTTTCTTATCAAGTTTGCATTTCTATTTTCAATTCTCTTAACTTCTTTCGAACTTCAAACTTTCTTTTTTAAATTACAATCTTTAAATCTCAAAGACGTAAATTAAAATTTAAATTCACAATATCAAATTCTCATAGACGTGAATTTGTATAATTTCAAAATATTGTGATATTTTTGGGTTGGATTTAAGATTTTTTTTGGTAGATATAATTGAAATTGAGATGAAATTTCTTTGTTTTAACTTATAATTTAAATAATTTATTTT